CTGGAGATAGGCTGCCTGTTTGAGAACAGTGCAGAGGCAGGTCAAGTTTCTGGTGATCTGTGAGATGATTCACCTTGCCTAAACTTGTTGATTTCCTCAGCATTCATATATCTTTGAGCTTTTGTGAATAGTTCTGGCATGCTCTTCGGTGGGCGCTTCAGAACTGAGAAAAGGAAACTTGATGAACGGAGGCCACCCAAGAAGGCGGTCATCGTCACCTTGTCGTCGGGTTCATCAACTTGGAGTACCTCCTCGTTAAAACGAGTGAGGTAACTCCTCAGGCTCTCCTCGCGGTCCTGCTTTATACTAAGCAGGTGCGTAACTGGCTTCTGGTGGCGACGCCCTCCTATGAAGTGTGAGACGAATGATCTGCTAAGCTCGGCAAAAGAGGTAATAGAGGCGGGGGAGAGCTTAGCAAACCACTGTCGGGTAGACCCCTTTAATGTGGTTGGGAATGCCCTGCACATGATTTCGTCTGGTACGTTGTGCAATTGCATCAAGGTCTTGTAAGTGTCGAGGTGGTCCAGTGGATCCTTTGTTCCATTAAAGGTCTCCACATATGGTATTTTGAACTTCTGAGGGAGGGGGTAGTTTGCTACATCAGATTTGAAAGGCGTATCAGTATGCCTTACCAGGTGGTCAACAGTCTCGGGTCTCTGTGCCTTCATGGCGTTGAAAACATCACCCAGTTAATTCTGTACATCCTTTATCTTCTCATCCCAATGATTGGGGGCTCCTCTTGAATGATCATGGAAGTGGCTTCCATGCTTCATGCTTTGGTTTTCACCCTCATCCTCCTGGAGATAAGGGTCCTCTCCCTGGGAAGCAAGGGGAGGGGGAGGGGGAGCTCCCTCATGTTGGGCTTCCCGAAGTGGGGCGCCCGGANAAGGGGAGGGGGAGGTGGAGCTCCCTCATGTTGGGCTTCCCGAAGTGGGGCGCCCGGACGTGTAGCAACAGGGCGTGGTGCTCCTTGATGTCCAGGACGTGGAGCTCCTTGGGGTGCTCCATGTTGTGCACCTCCGAGTGGTGCTCCACCTTGGGGCCCTCCATGTTGTGCACCTCCGTGTGGTGCTCCACCTTGGGGTCCTCCATGTTGTGCACCTCCGTGTGGTGCTCCACCGTGGGGTCCTCCATGTTGTGCACCTCCGTGTGGTGCTCCACCTTGGGGTCCTCCATGCTGTGCACCTCCGTGTGGTGCTCCTCCTTGTCCAGCAAGTATGAGTTGCAATAACTGTTGGTTTTGAGCAACTAGTTGCTACATGGTCTCCAATATTTGCTGGGGATTCGANTAACTGTTGGTTTTGAGCAACTAGTTGCTGCATGGTCTCCAATATTTGCTGGGGATTTGGAGCTAGAGTATCCGGAACAGGGTTGGTAGGCGAGGGAACAACCTCCTCATCTCGTGGAGGATTGTCTTCATGTTGGTTCACGGATCGAGTAGTGATCGCCATTGGTTAATGGATGTAGNCTCCTCTCGTGGAGGATTGTCTTCATGTTGGTTCATGGATCGAGTAGTGATCGCCATTGGTTAATGGATGTAGTGTTCAGGAGTGAGAATTTTGTCGATTCCCACAGACGGCGCCAAATNGGTAATAAATGCAGTGAAATCAGTGAGAAAATTAAAGAAGACACGATTTATAGTGGTTCGGTCAATTCGACCTATGTCCACTCTTCAATGACTTCAATTACTGGGTATTTTATTAACTCAAAGGTGTGGAGAATAAAGATACAAACTTTGAGAGAATGGAAAATCAAAGAAGTAGTGGTCTCCGGTCGTCGGTCTGTCCCCTGTAAGTGTTGGTGGGGTGTGCTATTTATAGTAGTCTCCTAACAGATTGGGGCTACTTTATAACAGCTAAGAGATCATTCTGGTGGAGATCATGACTTATCCTCAAGACTACTTTATAGCACTAAAAGATCATTCTGGTGGAGATCACGATTTATCCTCAACAGAAGNGCTACTTTATAGCAGCTAAGAGATCATTCTGGTGGAGATCATGACTTATCCTCAAGACTACTTTATAGCACTAAAAGATCATTCTGGTGGATATCACGATTTATCCTCAACGGAAGGAGGAGGTTAGGGAGCTCTTCATGNCATGAAACGCGGTCAAAGATTGGACCGTTTCCTTCGGTGGTGCAGATAAGCTTCTCATGCTCTCCTCTTGATGACGTGCTAAGCAAAAAGTCTAACCAGTCTTGGACTGTCTTGAACTTGATGGATTCAAAATGAGGTTGGGCTCCTCAACTGGGGTTGGACTTTAACACATAAATTGGACTATTTGGACTTAACCCATCAAAAGCTAATCATATTGAATGAAATTTAAAGAGACTGATTAAATTAAAACTTGGAGATCCCATAAAATTATGAGATTAATTCAAAAAGAAAAATTAGGTAGTGCTATTAAAGAAAGACGAGTTTCTAACAAGCATGTCAATGCACTGAAAAGATTTGTGTCATAAGGACCAAGTTCACAACAAATGTGACATGATTTGGAACTGTGCTGTATATCTTATTTTGCACTAAAGTTTCAAAGGATTGGTAGTCCAAAAACTATTTTTTCACTTGATATCATACAATCTCAAAGAAACAAAATTTAATGATATGAACAATAAATGACAAATGTTTTTAAAAATATAAAAATTTATGTAATTAGTGGTATTTCTATTCAATTGTTTACCTATAAAGGATGGGATTTGAACTTTGATGATTGCCATTTATGATTTTTAATATGGTTCTATAAACAAAAATATACCCTATAATTAGGACTTAAAAAGGATAAAAGTTCCTAAAATCTTGCAAATGCAATTACAAAAAAGAATTGTATTTGGAAAAAAAAAAAAAAAGGGAGGGGGGCGGGGGGAAAGAAGGGGGGTTTGGTGTATATTATATGTCTTTGGGATTGACTTGGGCCTAGGCCCTTCTTTACAGCATACAGAATTGGTAGGGCCCAATACTTGGGGCTAAACGGATCTGCCTTGGGGTTTAGGGTTTTTGTCTGTGTCAGGACTTAGGACGAAGCTCTATCTCTCTCTCTCAGGTAAATTCTCGGAGCCTTTACCAAAATGTCATTTTTTATTGGGAATTTTGTCAAATCTTTGAATAGGCTCAATTGGGTTTTCTTCGTTTTTACAATCATGTTTGTCCTGTATTTAGATTTCTAAATTGAAATGGGGAAGAAGCGAAAACACAGTGAGACGGAGGTTGTAGCCAATGTAACGAAATATGAAAGTGCTCCAGAGAGACCTAAGCGTACAATTCTGGGGTGGAAAGATAAGACTGAAGAGAAAAAAGAAGGTAATGATTCTAATACGTGCTTTAGAAGTAACGACAAGGTTTTGGTCACTTGTTCGCGCCGCATTAACTTCAGGTGGAGTTTTTGATTTCTAAAATCTATTTTTTTTTCTTCTTTAGGTTGGAATTCTATTTTGTTGGTTTGTAATGTTGTTCATGTGAATTCTAGGTATCGGCACATGATGTTGAACTTGGTTTCACTTTTGCCTCATTGTAAGAAAGAAAACAAAGTCGAGTCCAAGCAAAGTAAAGGATCGACCCTTAATGAACTGGTTGAGCTAAAAAGTTGTTCATCTTGTTTGTTTTTTGAGGTAAATTTTGCTTTTGGTTTGCCATTTTGTGACTTTGATTTTGGTAGGTGGTTGTAATTATATGTTTGATTGTATTAGATTATTGTAGTTTTTCACAAAAGAGATTGCATTGCCTAAATTTTTTTAAGCGGTTGCAAAACATGCGGTAGTTGTAAATGTTGAATGTTACTTTTGTGCTTTAGTTGGTGTGGCTTTAGTTCTTCATGGGATCACAGCACATGTACCTTTTTTTCCTCATTTCAGTGCCGGAAGGGGAAAGACCTTTNTGATTGTATTAGATTATTGTAGTTTTTCACAAAAGAGATTGCATTGCCTAAATTTTTTTAAGCGGTTGCAAAACATGCGGTAGTTGTAAATGTTGAATGTTACTTTTGTGCTTTAGTTGGTGTGGCTTTAGTTCTTCATGGGATCACAGCACATGTACCTTTTTTTCCTCATTTCAGTGCCGGACCTATGGATGGCTAAGTGCCCCAATGGTCCATCTGTGAAATTCTTAGTTAATGCTGGTAATATGTTGTTTCTTCTATGAATAATATGAGTATGTGAGATTTGTCTTGTCTTAAGCCTGCAAGTAATTCTGCACCAGTTTTGTTACCTGCAAGCTAATTTTTGGCCAATGATTTGATATGTGCATAATCTGTTTTCTTTTTTATAAAAAAAAAAAAAAGAAAGAAAGAGAGTAAACATGGCCTAATTATCAAATTTTAATTTGTCACTGAAGTGCATACTATGGAAGAATTGAAACTTACTGGAAATCATCTGCAAGGCACCCGACCTATTTTGACTTTCTCAACTAATTTTGACAAAGACCCCCACTGGAAACTATTGAAAGAGATGATCATGCAGGTACGATGTTCTTGCTTCCTCTTTCAAAAGCAAAGTTCCTGTGCCTTTTTTTGTTTTAATTTTATTTTAATTGACAAAGCACTTGTTATCTTCAAAAAAACTCATGTAGTTTGATTTGTCTTTCCCAAGTGTCAAAGGTGAACTTGTGTTTAGACAAAAATTGGCTAATTGGAATGTACCCTGGGTGATAGTCGGTTGCTGCAAGGCACTCATCTCTCTTCAAATCCCCAGCTATTTGTATTAGAGTTTAATCCAGATTGGTTTACTAGCTTCAGAATAGAACAGTTCATTGTGTGGGGCGTACATTAGCTATACACACCTCAAAAGGGAAAGTAAGAATGTAGGTAAATATGGCCAGTGTTTTTAGTTTGGCTGTAAAGGGGACATAATCATTTGATCAAGGCATACATTTGAGGATCACTAGTCTTGGGCTTATACATAAATTGAGGATTAGCAGTAGTTTGCTTTGGAAAATTTATGTTTAAAATGTTGTTCTAGATGCCTCATAATGCATTTTGTGCAATTAATGTGATTTGAAAAAGCTTGTGAAGCTTTGCCTGAGGCTACAACATTAGAATTATGCTATTGGAGAGATATCTAGATAACAATTTTAGATAATTCGTTACCCAGACACAGAATACCTTGAGCTTGTTAGATTCACATTGTTTGGCAATTTTTGTTTCTTTTCTTTTGGCAGATATTTGGAACACCCAAGGATCAAAGGAAATCTAAACCTTATCATGACCATGTGTTTGTTTTCTCAATTGTTGATAGCAACATATGGTTCCGGAATTACCAGGTTAGTGAAAGTCCACAAATGATTTGAAATTGTTATGTGGAGGCATTAGACCCTTCCTTCATAACCAGAAGTTGCTGCCCTTTATCCTACAAGCAATTGAGAGCATGCAGATTGACATGTAGTCTAAATCTGAGTTTGATGGGTGATGGTATCACAGGTACATGCAAATTGTTTCCTTACATAAAGATGCATGGTTGTCAACAAAATTATTATTAATTTGCTGATTGTTTTCCTTAATGTTCTTTACCTGAAAACTAAAAGCAATTGTGTTTTCTTTTTCCATGGAGTTGTTTGAGTGAACTCATGTACATATTAAGGGCAGACTTTTTAATATAGGCGGTTTTTTCTTTGATAAGGACAACATTTAATCAAAACATTTCGAGCATGAATTTTGTACGGTTGAAGGACATTTTGGTATTAATAAAGAATCTACCTTTTTTTTCTTCTGCTTCATGGTTTATGGACCTGGATTCCCCTTGCTAACCCCTCTTGGGGTTGCCCTAGTTGGAGAATCTCTTTAACATTATTCCATAGTTTGGACATTGATGGGCCTTCCACAATTGAACCTTTTTACTAACCAGATGTTGAAGTTGTCTTTTGGTGAGTTGTTGATAATTCACAAGGATTTAAAGAGAAGCATTTTATCCTTTCCTGGTTAGTGATTTCTTTTTAAACATTCTACATGCTTTTCCTCCTAGAGAGGAACAGCATTGAAAGCAGTGATATAGGTTTCAAATGGAGTTGTAGAATGGTAGTCTCGAGTCAGTTCTGTATTAAAGACTGATACCTTAATACCCCTCTATTATTTTTGCTTTTTTAACCTGTGTCAAGAGTAGTTCACACTTTTACTGATGTTGTTTCTTCAATTCTCAAAACAGATATCTTGTCCTCAGACTGGAGCCAGTAAAGTAGACCGAGGAGACCTGGATAAGATGACCCTTGTTGAGGTTTGGAGCCATACTGTTACCACACATCAACAGATACCTGTATAGCGTTGTAGATTAAGCNCAGACTGGAGCCAGTAAAGTAGACCGAGGAGACCTGGATAAGATGACCCTTGTTGAGATTTGGAGCCATACTGTTACCACACATCAACAGATACCTGTTTAGCGTTGTAGATTAAGTTCATGATGTCATACTTTTTTGTGGATAGGTTGGTTCAAGATTTTGTTTGAACCCAATCAAGATCTTTGGTGGCAGCTTTGGTGGCCCAACACTATATGAGAATCCATTTTACGTCTCACCAAACCAGGTAGGAGATGTTTTATCAACCTTGGTTTTAGAGGCTTAGTTCCCATTCCGTTTTTTCTATGGATTTTAAAGATACTGTTTTTCATGATGTTTCCATTGATATAATGGATTTTGTACCTGTTGGCATTACTGTTCCCTAGTTCCGATTTCATTCAAGTTACAAATTAGAATAACTAAGAGAAATTTTGATTGAATTCTGATCCAAAGACAAAAAAAAGGATCAAATAATCATTCCATGATGAAAATAGAATAACCGAATTTTTGTATTGTGTGCATAAGAGGTAGACACTACAATAGAAAAAAATTNTCCGATTTCATTCAAGTTACAAATTAGAATAACTAAGAGAAATTTTGATTGAATTCTTATCCAAAGACAAAAAAAAGGATCAAATAATCATTCCATGATGAAAATAGAATAACCGATTTTTTGTATTGTGTGCATAAGAGGTAGACACTACAATAGAAAAAAATTTATATATTTTATAGTATGTTTATAGTTAGAATTGATAAGTCGTACCTATCCAAAAACACATTTTGTGTTGTTAGTTTACTGAGATGAATAATACTATTTGCACACAATGATCCAATCTCCCAGATACGTGAATAATGTATAATTTGGCTCATTGAACCAAGGCTAGCACGACCCAAGAGGGTTTTCTTAGTTTGGTTGACAAGCCTTTATTTGTTTGAGGTCCTTGGCATCCCACAGTTCATGTGGCTATACACAGGCCACATTCGTTTATTAGGTGATCTAATATGCTCTATTGCATGCTTTCAGATTCATGCATTAGAGAATCGACAGAAAGCGGGCAAGTATGCAAAGAGAGTCAAAGCCAAGACAAGGAGAAAGATGCATGAGCTATCAAATCCCGTGGAGCCTGATGAATTAGAAGAGATATGGAAGGAATGATGAATCAAGTAAGCAAAAAAGATAGGCTTCATGACTTATCCGTCTTGATAATCGCCTTTTCTTCTATTATGATAACATGAGCCATCTTTTGCNAGTAAGCAAAAAAGATAGGCTTCATGACTTATCCGTCTTGATAATCGCCTTTTCTTCTATTATGATAACATGAGCCATCTTTTGCTTGATGACCTTGTGCCCAGCATGAAATGGAAAATTTTGGTCGAGTTTTTTGTCTTATCTAAACTCCAAACAACGCAAAATTCAATTATTTCAACTATATATCAAATGAGCTTCCAAATTATTCAAGACCCTCTAAAGCATGAATTATTTCCATATCCAATTTTTACACTGCTGCGAAGAAGAAGAAAAGGAAATACAGGAGGAACTTGAAAAAAAAGGTTGAACGAACGCCTCTTGCCTGCCTTATCAGCAATGCGAGTCCCACTCGGTCCAATTGGCTTCACTTCCCCTACGAGGAATGCTGTTGACCCTTGAGTACACATCAACCTTGAAGTTAGCTCCACACATCACCCCATCACTGTCTATTCTTGGCATTGCTTTCATCTTGTGAAGAGGATGCTCGAAACTCATCAATCCTCCCTCGCTGTGAAACATGCATCCTGCACACCCAACCCATCAAAATTCATTNTGCTCGAAACTCATCAATCCTCCCTCGCTGTGAAACATGCATCCTGCACACCCAACCCATCAAAATTCATTTGAGTTATACATGGTTAGCTCAAATGGTAACACAAAGGATGGATTATAAACTCAGACTTTTGAGTCCAAATCTTGGCAGGCGAATCATCAATTCTCATCGTAACTGTACAGGCGAATTTTACCAACCAAGGGAATCGAATTCGTATTGAATTTGGATCATAGACCTTCTCTTACCTGTTGGAAATGGTGCAAATGATTTGGCACAGCCTGCTTTTATGACCTCTAAATCGTCAGAGATCACCACAGAGCCATCAGCAGCAATACCCCAATACAGCTTCACACACCCATCAGAACCCTGCACCCATAACAACCCCTCATGACTTTACACACACACGAGAGAGAGAGAGAGAGAGAGAGAGAGAGAGAGAGAGTATATATACCAGTGCAGCAAACACTTTTCCAGCCTTGCTGTCATAGACAACAAAGGCGAAGCTTCCATCCAGATCCTTAACAACCTGATCAGCTGGATAGGGGCCACGGTCCCGAAGTGTCCGATAGGCTTCAATCACAAACATGGCCTCGTTTGAACCCTTTGATAGCCCATACTGTTTGATCTGCGCATAAAGGTTGTTCAAGCTCCCCAAGAACAGGCAATATATATCATCAAACCCACAAAACAACCTGCGAATAACCATAACACAAACTTTCCATTTATTCACTCGGAGATGTATATATATGTGGGGAGAGAGAGAGAGAGAGAGAGAGAGAGATTTGTTGCCTCTGGTGATGGGAGTGAGGGCTCTCCGGTGACTCCGGTCGAACGTAGGCGAGGACAGCGGCATTTCCGAAGCTCATAGAGGTGGTGTTAGTAGGATGATGAGCTGAGAGAAACTCAGAGAGAGTCTCCTGTGGAAGTTTAGGTTTCTTGGAATCATTGAGAGATGCTGTTGGGCTGTTAAGCTCTTCCGGTGGGTGAGCAAACGCCTTATGGAAAATAGCCAACATTTCCTCTTCTCTCTGTCTGTACAGTGTACACCAACAAATCAAAAACACCACAAAATCAATCAAAATGTTCAGTCATATTGTGAATAGGATATTATCTCTGTAGTTTTCAGGAATATGTTAGATGGGTCATTGAAGATTCTGTGCTGCATATATACATATATATATATATATGGTCCAACCAGAGAGCAAGGAGGAGAGAGAGGACGTGGGCAGGTGGCCCTGGTGATGGGCCTGGTGTCAGTTCTATCTTTGTTCAGAGATTATGGATAAGGATTCTCGTACTCCGATGTCTTTATTTTGGATTTTTTGTTGTTGTTTTTTTTGGAAAAAATAATGTTACCTTAATCTAAAGTCGTAGTATATGGGCGAAGCAATTTTGGACTTTACCTCTGGTGAAGTTTTTGTCTTGATCCCAAGGGAAAAACGGTTTTGGCCCCATGTTTTTTGAAACCATTGTAACTCAATTTTCTCAAGCATAAGTAGAAAATATTGATTACAACGTTATTATCTTTCATTGGATGTTATTATTTAATAACATAGAGAATTTTTTTAGTTTTGAAAAATGATATTTTTTTTTATCATATTATAGAGTTAGTTATTGTTTGTG